AGTATTTTCTACTCTTAAAGACCATGTTTCGCAGCCGTATAGAAGGACGGAACGAACTGCCGCGCAGTATACTCGTCCCTTAATTGATAGACGGATATCTCGCATTCGCCATAGATGACGTAAGTTGGCAAAGGCCAAACGAGCTTTTCGAATCCGTGCTGAGATTTCGTCAGACACCAACCCATTAGGGCTGATCAGACTTCCAAGATAAGTGAAGTTGTCGACGCGTTCGACTACTTCACCCCCTATCCTTAGTTCAGGTGTTGACGCAGACCAGTCCTGAGGCAACAACTTGCATTTGGAGGGAGAGAAGCGCATCCCAAACATTCTTGCATTGTTGCTCAGTGCTACCAAAAGACTCTGCATTTCATCAGCGTCTTCACCAAACAGGACTATGTCATCTGCGTATTCTAAGTCAATAAGTGGACCTCCTGGTAGGAGATCAATACCTGAGAATTCAGTCGACGAGAATATTATTTCCATCAGTAGATCTATGATGAAGTTGAACAAAAATGGAGAAAGTGGACAGCCTTGGCGGACGCCACTTGAGGTTGCAAAATCAAATGACAGTTTGCCATAAACTCTCACTCGACTAATAGTGTTCGAGTAAAGAGCCTTCACAAGGTTTATGTACTTCTGAGATACGCCTTTCAATGACAGACACTGCCACAGAACCTCTCGGTCAACAGAGTCAAACGCTGCTTTTAAATCAAGGAAGACCACTATTGTCGGACGCCGATAAGTATGCCTGTGTTCTAGAACCTGACGAACGGTGAATATGTGGTCGATGCAGCCACAGCCAGGTCTGAAGCCATCCTGATATTCACGTGGTTGCAGCTCGCGAGTCTTAGTTAGGCGTCCGAAAATTATCGAAGCTAGTATTTTAGATATTATATTAGTTAAACTAATCCCTTTGTGGTTGTCACAGGATGATTTTGACCCTTTCTTAAATATTGGGACGATAAGTGATTGTGACCAGTTAGATGGGATAACGTTTAACTCCCAGATTTTAGCTAAAATATTAGTCAACCTAATCGCTAAATCTAGACCACCATCCTTAAAGACCTCTGGGGCCAATCCGTCTGGACCAGCTGCCCTTCCTCGTTTCAGATTAGCTATAGCCTTTTGAACTTCAGCTAGAGTTGGGGGACCTACTTCAATGTTCCATTCATACTGTCTGGGAATAGAGGGTAGTTGTAGAGTAGCTGAAGGCCAACTGAACTGCTCCTTAAAATGTTCCGCCCATCGTTCTAAACGTCTGGACTGGGAGCAGATGAGAGTGTCGTCTTTTTCCGAAATAGTCTGACTTACACTTGATTTATTAATTCCAGTTTCTTTTATTAGTCTGTAGAGTTGTCTTGTGTTCACTATAGCCGCCGCCTTTTCCATCTCTTTTGCTTTCGTTGCCCACCACTGCTCACGATCGTTCCTTAGACTTTTGCTTAACCTAGATCTGATTTCTTTACGCTCTTCATCGTGTTCAGAACCTGATGGGATGAGTTTACGAGAATCTATCAGTGCAATAGACCTTGAAGAAATCCATTGGTTCTTTGTAACCCTGTGGTTTAAATCACTAGTAGATGTCACTGCTGTTTCCACAGCTGCTTGTATGTCTTTCCAATCAACATCGGGGTCAGCCTCGTTTTCAGAACTACCTAAGTGTGACCTCAGTTGTTCTTGGAACCTACTTTTGGTTTTCTCATTACTTAATTCGGTTCTAATGAGTCTTCTTTGTGTGGCTTTTTTGTGTCCAGTGAGGCGCAAGCAGATGCGTGCTCGTACTAGGGCATGGTCGGAGTCCAGGCAGGTATTGCAGAATGAGTGACAATCTTCTATCGACCCTCTCCAACGATGACTGATGGCAATATGGTCTATTTGAGTCCGTCGTTGGTTTGGTGCAGGGGGTCACCATGTTAGACGATGTCTCTCCTTATGCTTAAAATTTGTGTTTGCTAAAAATAAACGATTGTCTGAGCAAGGTTGCAGCAGACGATCACCATTATCTGTTCTCTGTGCCGGAATACTAAAATACCCACTCAAATGTCTTTCTGTTTCGTTTAAGCTACCTACCTGGGCATTAAAGTCGCCTGCTACGAGTACTATGTCTGAACGTTTAGCTTTCTGAAGAAGTTCAGATAGTTTTCTGTAAAATTTATCTTTCACATCATCCGAACTGCAGTCAGTGGGAGCCTAGGCAGAAACGACGAAAAGGCAACGACGTGTGTCCCTATCCATTCGAGTTCTTACGGAGCCCTTTAGCCGAACAGCGCATAGACGACTATTAACGGGGATCCACTCTAATAGCGCTTGTTTCGCCCTCATGCTTAGTGCTATGCCTACACCTGCCAGTCCGCGAGAACTAGCCATCGGGTCGCCAGATACACGGAGGGTGTATCTCGTTGGCTCTCAGTTTTGCCGAGGTGAGGTCAAGTGAATGACCACACTAGGATCCTGTATGTGTGTTTCGGAGACACAGCATACATCAATCGTACGAGATTCTAAGGTTTTAGCCAAGGAAGCCTGCTGACCGATTCGGCATAGTGTGCGTACGTTGAAGGCCTCAATGTGTAGTTTGGAGAGAGGTTTCAGTACACCTGGGACAGTGTTTTGCGCACTAGAATCGTTGGCTGTGGTGACACTTGAGGAGGAAGCTAAAAGAGGGAGTTTAGATTTGAAAGTCGATGTAAGAGGAATAATAGGAATTGAAGAGGTAGGTTGATTATGAATACAATGGTCTTGAGTGCTGTTAGAGGTATGAGGGCGGTTATCACTTCCCGGTTGCCCACACCGTGGAAAGGTTCTGCTGGAGGTACCTGAAAAGGAAATTGGATTAGAGGTGGTCATAGTGACCTGAGAGCGTGACCGCAGTGCCCAAGGGACAGCTGCTTGAGGTCGGTCACACACGACCTTTTTATGAATAATTTTTGTGTTAGCTCCGTACTTGTTGAGACCTTACCGCCGGAGACGGATATCCATGGGGTAACTCGAGGTGTGCATTTTTAGGGTCGACCTTTTCTAACCCCTCCCCTCCTTTTGGGAAGGCAGTATCGCTGTCATGCTGGTTGTCTGAAGGAAACACCTTACTGCTGTCACACCTCTGTACAGTCAGCAGTACGACTTCGCCTTCGGACCTTGATTTTGTTGCTTTTAGTCTTACCGCTCTTCAACCGACCTGTCTGGCATGGTAGGACCTTGAGGAACGGTTGTTCCAGCCAGTATAGCTCAGTTGCTTCATCACGATAGGCGAGCCCGACCACCACGTCAAGGTAGCAACAACGGTCAGGATGAGATCAATGCACGTATAGTGAAAGCCAGAGCGGCTTATGCCAATCTGGGTGATCTTTGGCGCCTTCGTGATGTTGGTCTGGCTGTAAAAGGTCGGATCTACAACGCGACGGTGAGAGCAGTTTTGCTCTATGCTTGTAAAATCTCGCCTCTCCGAGTTGAGGATGTTAGACGACTCTCTGTGTTCGATCATTGTTGTCTCCGAAGGATTGCTGGCATCCAGTGTCAACACCATGTCAGTAATGCAGAGGTCTGGCATCGTGTGTTCGGTCACAGAGACGATAATGAAATTGGTGTCACCATCTTGAAACACCGACTTCGGTGGCTTGGACATGTTCTACGAATGTCGTCCTAGAGAATTCCTCGTCGTGTATTATTTGTCGACTCTGGGACTGGTTGGAAAAATCGGAGAGGTGGGTAGTGTATGACATGATGTCGTGGTATGAAAGAAAGCTGTACATAACTGGCTTCTGTTGGTCCTTCACGACTCCCTGGTTGGGGTCCTAGAGATGGTTCAACACAGTGGCTAGAGACGTTATCAGATATGGCTCAGAATAGAAGCCAGTGACGATCCTACTGTAACCTACTTTTACTTTCTTCATAAAAGTGACCGTAACTTCTTTAACTGAAAGAATTCTTTCTGATTGTATCTTTCTGTTTCGCCTATTATTATTACTATTTCACTACCATACACTAATTTGTAGTCGTTATTGTTCCTTTTTTTTACACGCACCTTACGTCTTTTAACTTTTCCCATTCTCATTGTTTTGTGTGGCGCATATATATTTGGTCCCCCATTTTACCTATATTTATGTGTTCAAATAAATAAAACAACAATAATGCCGTGAGAAAGTAGTAAATATGAACGTAGTAAATATGCACGTGGTCATGAAAGAGCATTTCGAGAGGGAGTGCTGACTCTCCCCACCCTCGGCCGTATCAGGGCACCATGCAGTTGTTTTTGAGCACTTCCGTATAATGTTTGATTGCTATCATTTCTGTTGGAAGGTTCTCACCCTAACAATGGTTTTAATGTACTCTTTATGCAATGAAAAATTATTGGACAGTAGAATAAATTATGAACAATTAGAAAAAACTAGTCGCTCAAATTGCATTCATCTCCAGTTTTCTTGGTAATATAAAAAATTGTGGGAGTGCAGTTGATTAAAAATTTCTTACGTTACTAAAGAGACGAAAATGTACATTGTTTTAAACCATTTGAAAGTTCGAAAAGATCATTTATAGATAAAATAAACTGGGTGATAACATAGTATTCTGTATATTGAGGAAAAATACCTTAGTTGCAAATAAAATAAAGTCTTTTTGTAAATCACTGTTTTTCACAGTAAAAGTTCAGACCTCAGATTGATTCATCAGTCGTTTGACGGTTTTCATGAAGAGTTTACGAAGTACGTGTTCCCTTTGTTCACCTATACATACCTATCTGTACAGAGCGACACTACTTGTATAATTACCAAGTGGTTACATGTAAATATCAAGGTCCTCCCAGTAAGTAACAAAAGATGGACATAATGTGGTGAAGGCCTAATGTATGTTGAAAACATTTCGTAGAATGAAAATAAGAAACGGTTAATTTTATTCGAAAAAGAGATATGTTTAATGCTATTGCTGTGTAATTATGTTATGCTTTGTTCAGTATATAAGCGCTCTTTGTTCATACACCTTAGTTCTAATTTAAAACATTCATATTATAGTTCGCATCCGAGTTCAAGAAGTAATCGACCTCATACAAGACTCAGAAAAGTTACAGCAAGAACGTCAAAAGGCCAAGGCTAGTCGACATATTTACACAGGTTATGGAAATACCAGTGATTTAGATTGGAGTTATTCTTCATATAAAAATGGTGGGGATCACGGTCAAACATCGTAAGTTATCGTTATACCAAATATTCTATCAAATATTGCAGCTAGGTCTTTGAAATTTCACTGAAGACATAGTGTCTAAACATTGACTTATGTGTTTCGGCACTAACTGTTTGTTTTGTGAATAAATACAGTCAGTCGGTGATCTCGAGTGTTGTTAGAGGTATGAGGGCCGTTATCACTTTCCGGTCGCCCATACCGTGGAAGGGTTCTTCTGCAGGTACCTGAAAAGGAAATTGGATTAGAGGAGGTCTCAGTGACTTGTGAGTGTGACCGACCTTTTCTAACCTCACCTCTCCTTGTGGGGAGGCAGCATTACTGTTTTTTGCTGGTTGTCTGAAGGAAACACCTTACTGCCATCACACCTCTGTACAATCAGCAGTACGACTTCTCCTTCACACTCTGAGTTTGCTGCTTTTTGTCTTACCGCTCTTCAACCGACCTGTCTGGCATGGTAGGAACTTGAGGAACAATTGTTACAGCCAGTATAGCTCGATTGGTTCATCACGATATGCAGGCCCGACCACCACGTCAAGATAGCAGCAACGGTCGCTTTGAATAAATCCATATTGATGTAAGATGATATTTATGAGGGATTAAATATTGGACTCTATAAATCCTTATCAGACGTTAGATACTATAATAAGTAGTGTTAGCAATGTGCTTTATGACCCTAGTAATTAAGATTAAGACGGTATGCCAAGTAACTTGCTGTTATTTCCTCTCAGATGAATCAATTCACGCTTTGCACGAAATCCTTACCTTTTTTTAGCCTAAATAAGAATTAATTTCCAGTTACATGCATCATATATAGAATCAGTTGATGGGTGCATGATATATTATGTCGTAATCAAATAACATCAAACATTCATAAGCTAAGTACTAACTACTGGTAAATTGTTCACTAATTTCGTTCATTCCTCAAAATTTTCCGTCCTTATTTATATATGCTGCTAAAAATCAATTCATCGCTGTTCATCCTCGCATTTACGCTATTAATTTAAATACCTAGTTGGCTTCCCTGCTATAATATAGATATAATTTCTGAGAAACGTTTAGTTGGAAGTATAAAACCTGTAAAACTCTTAAGAAATCAGACGTGATTTATTCCATATGGATTTTTGTCGCTTCTCTATCTGTGTCGATAAATCAGAGACGACTCAGGAGTAATAGATGAACATTTTCTAAATACACTGAATATCTCCAAGTGTTTACTTTTGGCTACTATTGTGCTCTTGCGCAAACCTTTTACATTTACTGGTTTGTTTGGGTTGGGAGAGGGTTTTGAGAATACTTATTATCAGAGGATAACCACATACGGCGGTAAATTTTGAATATTTCCAGAGTTTTGTGATAAAAGTATAACTTACTACTCTGTATTTTGATATAGTGTTGCACAATCATGCTAATTAGAATATTAAACGTATCATTTATTATTACGTCTCACTAATTGTTTCCTATTATTTTCTTTCCCCCTATTCTTTTGGAATTTTATATATGTATATATGCGAATGCTTACCGTATAATTTGGTCCTTGAACCATTGTTTTTTTTTCGCTTTGTGTGCTTATATGATTCATCCTTTTGTTCTGCTTTCCGCTCTTTGTATTTCATTGTAAATTCATGCGTGGCTATTTCGCTGTCCAACATATTTCATTCATTATGTGTACTTACATGTATATGTATATGCGTGTGCTTTACATAAATTCTTATGTTATTTGAAGTTATTCACTTGATGACTATGATAAAGAAACTTACTCATCCAAAAACTTTACATTGCAATCGCGTGCCAAATCTAGAGTTACAATATCCGAGCATAAATCAGACCTACCCCCGCCTAGGTTGGGTAATTTTGATGATTGGCATGTGGGTAAAGAACGTGGTGTAATGGACGATGTTTTAGAGCAGTTCAAAGAAGCATGGGATTTGGCCAAAGAATCTACTAAGGATTTAATTTTCTCCAAAAATCCTCAAGATAATAGATCAAAGTAGGTGGTTTATGTTCTCCGATGAAACAAAATGAGCACTTTTTGTGTGGAAAACACCGGTTTTAACTTTTATGCCTCTGTTTTGGTTGTAAATTGTTATATGATAAATTTGATATAACCTATTATTTCATAATCATCAAGCTATTTATGTTTTAAGCATGTATTATGGAGAAAATTGAGTAGCTTGCTACCAGTCATATAGATTCACAGCTTCATCTAGTTTAATCATCATGCAAACAATCAGTAGCCTACAAGGCGTATAGTTAATTATCGACTAATTTCAACAAATCTAAATCAATAACTAACAATCTGTCGCATTATTCGTTATATTAACACCATATATGCGCCTTGATTCATCAAAGAATAACTTGTGATTGCTGATAATTTAACTTACGTTTGATATACTTCATAATCTATTGTTTCATTCATCTCTCTCTCTCTGTTAATCTTTGTCATAAGCACATTGTTTTGATCATTGTGGTTCTCTTATTATTAAGTAAATAATCTAATAACGCTAGAATACTTAAGCTACTTTTGCCTGGTGTAATTGTGTTTGAAAATTCATTAGAATAATTTAATCAAGCTTGGTTTTTACGTGTGCATTCTCTTCAAACTTGTATACATTTGTCACATTCTAATGGTGTAGTTTTTATAACAGCTATTTTTTGCTTACTATAAAAAGGATAGTGATATTAGAACAAATCTTTTTTTAATCAAAAATTGCATACATGTTAGTTATCACTTTTAAGCGGCTTGTTTTTGTTTGTGTAGCTGAATGTTTTTCATTTACTGGGCAAGTTTTTTTTACGTGATCTCATATCGACACCTGATAATAAAAACAAAAGTTTGAAGAAAAATATCGGCGTATAGCTCAAATGCATATAAATTCTTTGTTCATTGATTGATTAATATAGTTTTAATACTTACACCTAATTATTTATCTGTTGTTGTCTAAACTCCTTAATCCATAAATTGAGATTGTTAAATACAAATAATCGTAGTTGTAAGTAATTTATATGAGTGAAAGGTTTAATCGGCACAAGCTAAATAAGTTGGTTATTAGTGACAAGACTGAGCAACAAAACTGAGTAAAATTTTTATACTGTCTATTACTTAATTTATATTTTTTCCCTATGAAAACTTGAGTAGAAATGTTAGAGTTGTCAGGTACTACATGATTAGTGTCATATTAATTTCATTTGTTTTAATAGCTTGATTTAATCGTAATTTCGATGATTTCTCTTTGTCTTAGCTCTCATGTAAGTACGTATTTCGTGAAAATAACAGTATCTTAGCATATGCAGTTTTTTCTGGTACTGATAAAAATTCTTTTGCTTAAGCTGATTAGAACTTAACCATATTGGTTTCGGACAATAATTCAGAACTTCATGATATAGGTTTAATACTTCTTAAAGTTCGTTAAAACGTATTACTGTAATATTTAGAGTAAATTTAACTTTGAAAATCAATCACTTTTTGACTCGACTTTGATATTGATGAGCATTTTACTATACTGAGTTATGTAATTTATCACTGCCGGTCAGCGTCAAAGATTAAGAACATGATATAACTTGGCATTTCATAACCGATTCTCTTTATTATCATATTCTCTATTTGTCAGGGACCAATTACCATTTGATTAACTTTTCATAATAGTATATTAATAGTTGTATATATCCATTAATTAATATGTAAACAGATTTGAGTTAATTTGAAATTATTTAAATAAATGTGTGACTTCTCAAGAAGCTTTTTGGTTTCTCAAAATTCACGTTCTATCACTGATTAGCTAAGTCAGTCAGTAGTGTGTAAAGAAAAAATGATAGCATATATCCCCGAAATTTGCTGCGTATCTGTTTTTGAATGCTAACTACGTATGGTGTATCAAACATTTTCGGATATTTTTACGTTAACATAGTCGGTATATGCTGCATATAAGAGCATAATTACCGCTGAAGATTTCATTTGAATATTTGAATTTGACTTAATTTTTTTCATCCGGCGAATTAGGATGCTCTACATTGGTCTATTTAAGAAGACATGTGTGGAAAGCTTTATATGATGAAAGTGAAATCCCCATTGAGAATCATGCTCTTATATTCAGTCCTCACCCACTAAATGATTGAGAAAGTGCTCGATAATGCTGGACACTACACTTTTGTTGGACAGTGTAAGGAGGATGGTTAACCTCACACAGTAAAAACAAGCTGACTGCCGCGTATGATTATTATTGGGACATTTCGTTCACCATTAAGCTAAATATTTATTTAAAAAAAATTACCTATTTATTTTACTTAATAATGACCTGCCATACAGAATCATAATATTTCTTTTGTTTGTCACTACTCAGTAACTTTTCCCTTTATTGGCATAGAATTTAACAACTGTTTTCGTTTTTCTTATGGGATTTATAAGTTTCTTATTTCCGGCGTGTATGTTTGTGTTCGTGTGTCTGTGAATGCTTAAACGTCCAAAAATTTTCATAGATACTTCATTGTTTATGTTGTAATTCGTAAGTCGTAACATTCTTATATCATTTGCATGTTATTTAATTAGTTATTTTCATGAATAACAATTCGACTGGTTTATAAAGAAACTATTTTCTTTTTATTCACTCTCAATCCCAATTTAGTTATTTGTACAAATAGATATTTTTATAACTAAAAACATAATTATCGTTTACAATAAATAAGTTTTATTCATTTCATTTACGTATTTTTTAAAATAACCTCCAAAGTGAGTTCAATCCACGTATGGTTTCTGAAGAGGTTTACGAGTTCCCATCAAATGCTGTTGAATCCAGTGGAACATATGAAGCGAAAATTCAGTCATCTTATGGGGATTATTCTGCACAGAATGAATTTTCATCGAAAAATTTTCCAAGATCCACCAAATGTAATAGTGTTGATAGTCGTGTTAATAATAATAACGGCGACACACATGCATCACAATCTAATGGAAAATCTCTTGGCCAAGTTATTGTGACACCTAGAAATCAAGTATGTTATCTTACCTAAGTTTTTAATATGTGTATATACGACAGTCTTTGTGTTCATTGTCGACTTTTAAAATAATATCGTGGTGAAGAAAGAGAATCTAAATGAGGCTCGGTAAAAAATACCAACTACCGTTTTCTATCTTCTGAATTTGTGCCGCTGGTTATTACGTTTCTCAATAGACAGTTTGAAGCCCGCTAAATCATTTTACCTACTTATTTTTCAACTCTTACAAGATAACAATAAACTTTCTTGCTTTGGATTTGTTTGGACTGATTTTAATTATGTATAATAACTGTATGCACCCACACTCTTATGAAAAGCTTGTTACTTATGACGGTGCTAATTAATGGAAAGCTCAAACGAAAATACTACAGGTACTGACATATTTTCTTCCTAGTCTATACTTTGAAATGCATGCATCATATTTATGATGGATGGGAAAAGTGGTCATATCAGCTGAATTGGTAGAAAGTTTTCAAAATTGAAGATAAGATAAAAGATTTCGACTATTGGAACACTTTTTATCAGATATATCTCTGAATAATTACAATTCGAGTGGATCGAAGAAAGAAATTGGATGCAATATTGAATAACTATAGTTGGGAATTCTTTGTTGTAACAAAATCTATGGTATTAGATAAGGAAAATATCGTTGTCATCCCAACATAGGTTTTCTTCCAGTTGTTGATCGCAGTCATCGTCTCCATTTAATATCAGAGAGTGTATGTGGTGTGTGCTACTGATGTCGAAAAATATAAATAGTATGCATCATCAGTCAAAAGTGAAATATCTGGCGGGAGAATGTTAAGGAGACCGAAGAAAAGTGAACGGGAACAGAGAAATATTGGTGTAGAAAAGAAGGAACAATGAAGTCTGAGACGTTTGATGGATATTTTGCAAATGAAGTATTTACTGTATGATTCACAGATTTTACTAAGTGTTTCTGTAACGTTGTGTTCAAATAAATTCGATTGTCCCCATTTGTGTTCTCGTTCACTACACGTATAGTAGCCATGATTGCAATGAAGTTTAATAAAATATTACGGCTTGAAAAATCCAATATATATATATATATATATATATATATATATATATATATTCGCCACCATCTCAAGATTTTATTCTTATATCAGTATTTTATTAGATATGGGGTATCGTTAACGTGACTGTCTGAATACCTTTGCTCGATGATACAGACCTTCTGTTAACTAAATAACTCGAATGTGATGTCCACCATTTTTTCCACTTTTTTGTGTTCAGACTGTTATTGTTCTGTCACATTGCTGTTTTTTTCATGTTGCTTCTAGTCAAAGCTAATGTTAATAACATCAACAACAATAATAATAGTGATGACAATATTAATAATAATCCTGTATTGATTATTCCATTCGTTCAGTGGTCGATATTTATCAACTATGTTAGTTCTTTGACATTATTCAGTGTTTTATATTCTGTTTATTTTTCTTTTCTGTTTATGCGCGTGTGTGTATGACTGTGTACAAAGTTTCTTTGTGAATGATGCATACTTATAATTTTCAGTTGTAATTTTATCTACTTGTCCATATACTGCAGTTACATTTTAGATTTATCTACGTGACTGTTATCACTTAGTGTGTGTCTTCATGATAAAAGGTGCTAATAACACTCACGAATAAACCATTCACCATTTATTTTTCTTAATTATCTCTTAAATGTAGTTTTCATATGGTTGTGCACAAATATTTAATTTCTAGAAATATTTATCCGTATGAAGATGTTAAAAATCGACATATATCAAATATTTTACCAATAAATCTTCACAGAACACTGTGTTTGTTTATTCATCACAACGTTGATAGTATTTAGGTTTAGTAAATAATTTTAGCTGTGTGTGTCAGTCAATGAGTTTGTGTAAAGCTGGATTGATCAAAGTATGATTGTTCACCATCACTCCCATCATATGATATCTGGAGTGTACACAAGTTTTTGTGTTCTCCTAAATTCTAATTTTCTGAATTATTTATGTCCCTTTTTCTCTCTTTCCAAATTTATTTCACTGGATTATGCTCCTTAAATAACATCTTCAAACCCTAATGTTTCCGATTACTACTTATACTCTTACTACCTCTACCACTATGGGATTTGAATCGACAACTGCATCCCTGTGCTAATGTGGTATGGCAACTCAAACTGATGTACGTACGTACGAAGTTCTATGTTGTTACTGACTGACTAAAGATTATAATAAGGCATAGTACCAATTATTGAACTTTCTGATTGAGTCCGAGTTTAATCGTTAGTCGTCATACCGTTTGTCATATGTAGTGAATTAGTCTTATTTTTTTAGTCAGTCAGTCAGTAACAACGTGGAACTTCGTACGTACGTACATCAGTTTGAGTTGCCATACCACATTAGCACAGGGATGCAGTTGTTGATTCAAATCCCATAGTGGTAGAGGTAGTAAGAGTATAAGTAGTAATCGGAAACATTAGGGTTTGAAGATGTTATTTAAGGAGTATAATCCAGTGAAATAAATTTGGAAAGAAAATAAAGGACATGAAGAATTCAGAAGATTAGAGTTTGAGAGAACACAAAGAGTGGATGCACCTGCGCCATTGCTTACGATTTTGAGCCATGTCATTCAAGGTCTCTAACCATCGGTTTCTATCGTCTCGCGGTCCCCAACAAGGTAGTCTACACCTACCAACATGACTCAGTCCACTTGTCAGTGACTTCATCGATTTGTGCCATGTTTTGGTTTGGCCGCCCATAGCTTTCTTCCAACCTACTTCTACACCATAAAACATAGCACGTCGGGGCAGTCGGTGGTCGAGCATACGTAACACATGTCCCAGCCATCTCAACTGATTAAGTTTCACTAATTCATCAATCGGTTTGCCATCCTTACCTAGTATCCGTTTCCTAACAACTGAGTTGCTTACTTGGTGATCCCAGGATGTACTAGCAATGTTTCGAAGACATCTATAGTCAAATACTAGTAACCTACGATTATCCTCTACTCTTACTGGCCATGTTTCACTGCCACAAATTAGAACGGAACGAACTGCTGCGCAGTAAACACGTCCTTTGGTTGATAGACGGATATCTCGCTTACGCCACAAATGACGCAAGTTGGGAAAAGCTAGTCGAGCCTTCTGTATGCTTGCTGAGATTTCGTCACACACCAGACCACAACGGCTGATGGGACTTCCAAGATAAGTGAAGCGGTTGACACGCTCAACAACTTCGCTCCCTATCACTAGTTCGGGTGTCGATGCAACCCAATCCTGAAGCAGCATTTTGCATTTCGAAGGAGAAAATCGCATGCCGAACATGCTTGCATCGCTGCTTAGAGTGGTCAGCAGACTCTGCATTTTGTCAGCGTCTTCACCAAATAGAACTATGTCATCGGCATATTCTAAGTCAAAAAGTGAATCTCCGGTAAAGTTCAACCCCTGGAAATTTAGATGAGGAAAGTGTTATTTCTAAAAGCACGTCAACGGCAAAGTTAAACAAGAATGGAGAGAGTGGACAGTCCTGACGAACACCACTTGAGATAATCAGTTCTGATGACAGTTCGCCATAAGCTCTCACTCGACCAGTTGTGTTCGAGTAGAGAGCTTTTATAAGGTTGATGTACTTCTTTGATACTCCTTTCAGTGACAAACACTGCCATAAAACCTCACGATCAACAGAGTCAAATGCCGCCTTAAGGTCGAGAAATACTACGATTGTGGGGCGTCTGAATGTGTGTCTATGTTCTAGTGTGAATATCTGATCTATACAACCACGTCCAGGTCGAAAACCAGCCTGGTTTTCTCTAGTCTGCTCTTCACGAGCTTTGGTTAGGCGTCGAAGTATTATTGAAGCTAATATTTTAGACACTATGATAGTCAAAGTGATTCCTCTGTGATTGTCACAAGAGGACTTTTATCCTTTCATATAGACTGGCACAATCAGTGATTGAGACCAGTCAGATGGGATTACGTCCAGTTCCCAGATTCTACCTAAGACCTCAGTCAATCTCGCTGCTAATACTGGACCGCCATCCTTAAAAATCTCAGGGGTAAACCTGTCAGGGCCTGCTGCTCTCCCACGCTTCAGATTTCCTATAGCTTTTCCAACTTCGTAAAGTCGGAGGACTTACATCAACTTGCCATTCAGGTCGACTGGAGATCGTGGGGAACCGAAGTGTGGCTGAAGGCCAGTTGAACTGATCCCTAAAGTATTCTGCCCATCGATCCAATCTCCTGGATTGAGAATGAATAATATGTCCATCTTTCTCTGCGATTGTTTCGCTAACAGTTGGGTTCCTAATACCGGTTTCCTTAACAAGTCTGAACAGTTGCCTGCTGTTACCTATTGCCGCTGCCTTTTCCATCTCTCTTGCTTTCGCTACCCACCACTGTTCACGATCTATGCGTAGGCTTCTAGTCAGCTTACGCTTAAGCTGACTCCGCTCTTCGTTATGTTCAGAGCCAGATGGAATGAGTTTCCGAGCATCTATCAGTGTCGTAGACGTTGTTGAGATCCAGTGTTTCTCCCCAACCCTATGGTTTACCGTACTTGCAGACATCACTGCTGTTTCTACAGCTTTTCGGATGTCATTCCATGCTGCCTCGTGGTGGGCATCACTTACATGGCTGCCTAACCGTTTTTCTAGTTGTTCCAGAAATATATTCTTAGCTTGACTATCATTAAGTAGGACCCTAAGGGGTTTCCTTGCACCATCTTTCCTACGTCCAGTAAGGCGTTGACAAATACGCGCTCGCACTAGAGCATGATCTGAGTCTAAGCATGTGCTCCAGAATGAGCGACAGTCTTCTATCGAGCCCCTCCATCGGTGGCTGATAGCGATGTGATCTATTTGGGTCTAGCGTTGGGACGAATTAGGGGGTCGCCATGTCAAAAGATGTTTTTCCTTATGCTTAAAGTTAGTGTCTGCAAGAAACAGGCGGTTATCTGAGCATAGCTGCAACAGACGGTCGCCGTTATCTGTTCTTTGAGCCGCGACACCATAAGATCCACTCAGGTGTCTTTCCCTTTCGCTTAGTTTACCTACTTGAGCATTAGTCCCCAGCCACTATTACTACATCTGAACGCCTAGCTTTTCGGAGAAGGCCGGAAAGCTTTCTGTAAAACTCATCTTTTACATTATCTGAGCTGTAGTCAGTGGGAGAGTAGGCAGAGACGACGAAGAGGCAACGACGAGTGTCCCTATCTTTCCGAGTCCTTACTGTTCCGTTTAGTCGGACAGCACACAAACGACTGCCTACTGGGATCCAGTCTAAGAGAGCTAGTTCTGCCCTAAGACTCAATGCTATGCCTACGCCAGCGAGGTCACGGGAAGCAGCATCAGGGCTTCCAGATACACGAAGCGTAAATCGAGTTGGTTCTTTATTTTGAAATGTTGAGGTAAAATGAATGACACTACTCGGATCCTGTGTGCGCGTTCCGGAGACGCAGCACGCGAGATTCTAAAGTTCTAGCTAAGGCAGCTTGTTGTCCTATTTGGCACAGTGCTCGGACGTTGAAAGCTCCTACATGTAGTTTGGAGCGTGGTTTCATGAGACTAGGAATAACGTTCCGCGTACTCGAATCGTTTGCCATCGCGGTGCGAGGTGATAAAGGGACTTGAGAAGGGTTAGTCGCGGAGATAAGAGAGTTTTTAGGAGGTGTAGGAAGGATTTGAATGTGACCAACTTGGCCTCATGTGCTGTCACGGGTATGAGGGCTGATGTCACTTCCCGGCTGCTCACACCGTGGAAGGGTATTTTTTGAGGGACCTGAAAAGGAAATCGGATTAGTGTTGGTCTTGGAGACCTGGTTGTCCGAGGGAAACACCTTACTGCTGTCACACCTCTGTACAGTCAGCAGTACGATTTCTCCCTCAGACCTTGAGTTGCTGCTTTTAGTCTTACCGTTCTCCAATCGACCTGCTTGGCATGGTAGAACCTGCAAGAACATATGTTCCAGCCAATATAGCTCGGTTGAGTCATCACGACAGGCAAGCCCGACCACCACGTCAAGGTAGCAGCTACGGTCAGGTGTCTTAATTTTATTGCTAACTGTAACACTTCCGTAACTGGTTTTTGCGTTTTAGTGTGAGAATCCTTGACTCTTTTAACCCTCTTTCATACTTCAGCTATTATCATTCATTATTGATATCAGGGTGGCTTAGTGCACGTTAGGTAGTACCAGTATCTTTCACCTAATAACTTCATCTATGAATGGTGCTTCCAAAATGTTGATTATGGAGTATCCTTAGTTTAAAACAACCATACAGTAAAAATTGCAAAGAAAAGTCTGAACGAAAATTACAATTATTCGGATCCGCTTTTTGTATTGTTCACATAATATTCTTTTTGTTCCGTTGTACTTTTTAAACTTGATTATTTATTCTTTGAAGAAGCGACTTACACTTAGTTACAAGGCGTCAGAAAATCTGATTTTTCTATTCATCGGGATATTACAAAAGTATTATTTATTTATAACAATCTACCCAATGCTCAATTTATTCGAAATTATCAAGTCAAACCTTGGTAATGTTACCTACAATTGAGATAATAGGATATTGCCGATGTTTTAACGAAATCAAGTGTCAATACGTTTAAAAGATGTTTGAGTACTATGCTTCCTATGTTTTTCAACATATTGTTCGGATGATTAGATAATCGCAATAATAGTGTCTGACATAACCTTTTTAATTGCTAACATTATCAATAAAATTAATCATAAGTAAGCGCTCATTTTTTCTTAATATCTACAAACATTTTATATTAATTTCCTTTTTCTATTTTCTGCGACCAGAGTACTGAAAAGAAAGACAACGTAAAGCCAAGACCACCATCCTGTGATTTATTAGATTCATTTGATAGTGGTGATAGTATCATGAAATCAGATCAAATGATAGATCTGTTTGATGCAATATGCCATTCACCAACATCAACTACAGCTGGTGTACACTCTCAACGGCAACAGCCATCTCAAATGGGATCTGAAGTTAATTGGCCTAGAAATGTATTAACACCATCAGGAGTATCTTTAAATACCAATTTAATTCAAAATCATGCCACTGCACCGTGTCAAAATCCTGATAAGTAAATTTAATCATATTTACTATATGTTAAATGCTAAGCGTTACTATACATTTTTAATATATTTCATAATTGCTTTGGTTATTTCAGCTCCCTTGATAAATGTAAATAGAACAAAGACAACAAGGTTTGCTGAATAAAATGAATTCATTTTATTTCACGGTTTCTCATCGTCTGCATGCAACCTGAAATTACAAATGGTAATAGAAATATAGTTTTAATTCATTTTTGTTTTGGTCTCTTGGATCTTGCCATTGATGTTTAGGACTGCAATTGTGCATCCTGTGTGGATCACTTTGACATTACCTTAAATCACAAGCATTATAATCAGAGATGGATGGTGGTTAGTATTGGAGTCCAGGACTCGCGTTTCGTCGTGGATTCCACTGCTAGCCACCATCCATCTCTGCTTATAATAAATATAATTATTAACAAACGTTTAGCATAATGTAGTTTGTGAAGTTCAGATAAATGTTAAATTGGAAATGAACCCCCTTCGTTCAAAGTAGTAATAATTTTCTCAGCTCATTTTTAGGCAAATGAAGTAATTTAGATTGTTCGTAAATAATGTTTGCAGTTTCTTCTAGTGGTTTACTCTGTTTAGATTTCTCTCCATTTCTTTTTTTCAAAAAAATGTATCCCAGTTTGTTAGATAATGAATTTGGTGATTTCACTTCAGCACCATCTGTACAGTTTCCTATGAATACTGGTCCAACAATTTCATCATTCGATGGTATCTTTTTTTCCAACTTTTCAAATACTGAAGTTTATCCATCCAATCAAAATGTAAGTGATCATTGTCAAATAATTTTTGTTTGTGTATAAAAGGGATCGGAACGATTGCTTAATCTCCAAAAGTATGTGCGATATCTTATAAATTGTGTATTAACTTTTGTCTACTTTTTTGTAAAGATGAAGTATTTATGAGATTTTAATTACACACTTCGAAACCAAAGGAAGAACTGTTACATAAATACACTGTGACTTTATTTTTTCATTTAGTTTCTTTAAATTGTCAGAACGTGGTATTTGTTGTTTACTCTGGTCCAAATCGTATTAGTATCTGATTCATAGTTGTGACTCGTCCATAAACATGGGAACAATGCTGTCTCATCAGTGTTCATGTGTACTGTTTCTAATCTTAATACCAGTAGTGTTAATGTTTTATAGGATATGATAGTAATTGATAAATCTTTTCAAACTGCAAAAGTAGATGTAACCGGGTTATTTAATTTTAGAAGTGTATCGTAACAGATTTTCTGCTGCTAAAGATTTTAAAAATTAACAGTTCATTACCATTAATATTTGGACCATAGTATTCATTGTACTTCATTACATGGTTTTTGATATGAAATATTATTAGACAGCGATCAAGCTTACTTACTGAAGCTCGAAGTGCTCAGGTAGTTTCACTGTTTTTTTATTCAACGTTTTTGTACTGTGACGCTCTTTCCTGATTCAAAGGGTCAGTTATGTATCAGAAGTTTTTGAATTTATCTAAGTCCTCATTTTCTGTTTATCGTGTAAATGCTACTTATCTTGGAAGCGCAGGTTTTTATTTCATAGGCACTTCTTTCATCATGTTTCCAACACCAGACACATTCATGTACGCTAGTTTTCAGTTGAGATACCTTTAATTGTCTCCAGCTTAGTACTTATTGAAGTGAATAGGATTTTAAGGAAATGCGTTATTAAGAAGCAACTTTATTAATTAATTAACTTTAAGAATACCTTTCGTAATTGTCCTACACTTTTCTATTCTGTTGGCCAGCAATTAATATAGAGAGTAATTCTGTCTTTTGAATGCACAGAGTACCTTGTTGGGGTCCGTGTGATTATCGTATGTAGTGGTTAGAGACTTTGAGTGACACAACTCAGAATGTTTTTATTGTTAAGGATGCATTCCCTTAGATCCTAAGTTTCTTGAGTATTTTAAGAGGTTTTTCTGTTCCATGGATTTAGGTTTTTTCTAATCTTATCATCTGTCCCTAATCTTATCTACTACTAGGACTGATACTATTACTAATTTTAATACTCTTACATCTCTGTTCTGATGTGATGCGGCAACGTGAACTAATGCACATGTTTGTTATGCTATTTATTTTTACCAGATCATTTAACTATTCGTCATAGGGGATGTAGACATTGATTTTTAACGCAAAGTGTTTGTTCCTATTCATACTAATCAAATCGCCACAAATTAGATGATAGAATTCTTTTCCCTTATCCGAGTGTTTATAATTTATGTTTCACTGTGCTTTTTTTCTTTGATATATTGACTAGTCTCATCAAAACAAGCAAACTGAGGAATTCAAACAACAACAACAACACGTGGTTCAGTCCAATCCAACTTCACCATCAAAATCTAAACCGCTAAACATTGGCAATACATGGAAAGAGTTAGGATCACTAAGTATTGATTTAGATTCACTAGCGAAACCGGAAAAATACGGTGCGCGAACACAAGCGCCAAGTTTACATCAATTAAAACAAAATCAGCAGCGTGTTCAATAATGAATGGTTTAAGATGTGGGTCGTTTTTCTTGTTGATTGTTTAAAAAGAAAAATAGATATAAACAACTGATAGAAAATCATTTAACCACGTTTTGTATCGAGATTATTTTTTATCCTAATACTTACGTCTACGACGACCAATGGTATTGATGAAGATAATGATGATATTTCATAAATATATTTCAGCTCAATAAATTGCTCTGTCCTTTCCTTATTTTGTTGGTTTTTATTCCACATACTTACATTGTTCTTACTAATTGATTTATCTCGGAATGAAATGGAAAAAAGTTCACTTCTGTTATATATTTATGTGGTTTCATAATTTGTGTTCGTTTTATGTATAATCGTGTGTCTGTCTGTCTGTATGTATGATGATCTTGCATGTACTTGTACGCCATATTTGTCTGTTTTTCTGTATGTATAGGAATTTGTTTTTCTTTTTCTAAGAAAATAAATATTTGTCTTTCAAATAGTATTTTCTCGTCAGAACTTATTTACACTTGAAAATTCTAATTCCATTCAATGTAATTGATTATTTAAACAATAATTACATTTTATTCCATTTTATTTCTACTGTTATCAATTTTTAATTTTTAGTTCAAGCTTCTGTGATTACGTAACAGTGACTGCCAAACGTTTATTCTTTGTTAAGCTCTTTTCGAATGTTGCGTATAAATACATGTATTCATGAATATATTTATAGGAAAACGGTTAAAAAATAATTTAATCATAGGATAAATATTATTTGAATACAATAATGTGCCTTACTTAATTTACTTGTTTACTTGACTTGTCTTCGACTTATTTTCAACATATCCAACTTATGTTTATATTCAATTATGATTTGATTGATGCTTATCTATCATTACTTGTTGTTTTGTTGTAAAAACGACATTGTCTATGTTATGCTGTGATTAATTTGTATAATTCGTTTACATACAGCCACACACACAATAATGGGTTATCAAATTGTTTATTGTTTTTGCTATATTAGTTTGTTTTAACTGATCCTTTGTAAAAGTAAAGGAAATAATCAATATTATTTAGTAATTATTATGTTTAAACACATCTAGAAGTTTGAATAGGGTGATAAATTCATTGAGGTCTTCTGCCTGTAAATTGTCGAAATGCCTCCATAAATCTCAGCGACCAAACAAATTCGTAAGTAATTGCATGAGATTCCTCATTATTACCGTCCATGTAGGCCATCACGGATGATGTCGATCTTTTTGTGTTACTTGTTTTGTGATTTTGCTGGTGTTGCTGCCTTTCAATCCCCAATAATTGTATTATTTACATAGCACCTAATATAGATGCTGTTTTTACTAAATAAAAATACAATTATCATAGAGAGTATCGTATGAAATGAAAATACTATTTGGAATTTAATCAGTATAATTCATTTGCCCACTAAGTAAACAGAAATATTCGGATATAACACATTTTGTTTATATGATTATACTGTCGAATAAACTCAGCTGATTTAGCGTATGTAGGCGAAATTGGTGTAATGAGTTTGAATATGCATGGAAATGGCATTTACAGTATTACATAAAAGACCAAAGCTTAACTGCGAATTTCCTGGTCTGGAATGCTGACAAATTCATGGAAAACGATTCTCCTTATGGAGCTTTGATTGCTAATTGTAACTTTCCGTGGATGGTTCTCTTGTAGGATTGAGATATTTGTTTTGACTGATCACTGAATAGTGCCCAATCTCATGTTTCTCTAGTCCTTAGAGCTGATTGAATCCTTTCCCTCGAGATTACAAATACACTGTGCTGACGAAAGTCATCCATGAGGAATAGTAGACCAAAGTGAAGTGAATGGTAAAGATTTATGCGATTGTATTGATTTACGATGTTTGCATTTTATGGTCTCGATTTGTGTCTTCTTTTTGTGACTTATTAATACCCAGACTAGTACGGGTATACGAGACGATATGTTTATTAAATCGATTTCAGGTAAAATAATATCTACGACCAACTGGTGTTTTACCTTTCAGTGTATGTACATGCAAAGAAAATTACACTGGCATGATTTAACAAGTCTTTATTACGTAACTTTCTGTAGAGCTTTACAAAGATCTGCCTGTGAAAAGAATTGATGACAATTTTAATAACCTATATTTCTAATATGTTCGTTTTACATAGATTTTTCAATACACGATCGTTTTTAAAAAAATCTTCATACATCCTGTCACGAATAGAAGCTTCATTTAACTCGCAATCATTTTATCTTATTTACTTTAAAAGTTCTTTGAATTGCATTGACCTAAAACTCTTGTTAGTCTTGTGACTTTTTTTCATTAAATGATATCTATCAAGGGAATATCTTTAAGCGAATCCATTATTATACTGAATACAGAAATGTATTTAACTATCAAAATGAAATTTCAATGGGAGAGAATATGTAACTGTAGCACTATATATATATAAATATATATATATATATATATATATATATATATATATATATATATATATATATATATATATATATATATATATATATATATATATATCAGAAGGGGCTTTGTGGAGATTTTAGCAATTCCAATAATTGAAATCATGAGTCACTTGAAGCCAGACCACCATGGAAATTCTGGAAGCACTGGATGGCCGTTTCGTCTTAGTATGGGACTCCTCAGCAATGCGCATCCACGGTCCCACCCCTCGCGAGATTCGAACCCAGGACCTATCAGTCTCGCGCGCGAGCGCTTAACCATTAGATTTATTTATTTATTTATTTTAACACATAAGTATAGGTACAGGGAGGCACCAAAATACATATGCGCCACACAAAGCTCAATTGATTTGTGTGAGGGCTGTGATACTGCCCGGGTGCCCAAACCGAAGCAGGTGGTTTTCTTAGGGGGCCACACCCCGAGCCTTTGACCTGAACGTCTGACCCACAAGGCAGTGGAGCATCGTGAGGAGATGCAGTCCCATGGTAGCCGGTGACCAACGATTGGTTCATACACCATTTGTTCCCGCAGGATACTGGAGCCCATGTGCACCATTGATTTGGGGTCCGGTTAAAGCGCCAGACATTCGCTTTTTGTCCTCTCATTTTTGTAAACAACACCCCCTCCACGAGAAGGCAGTGAGTAGGACTTCCCTGGCAGGGGCTATATACGCATGGCCATGTGAGAGCATTTCGAGAGGGAGAGCGGACTCTCCCCACTCTCGGCCGTACCAGGGCATTTGGGGGCATAAGGTTGTTTTTATTACATTAGACCACTGAGCCGGTCAGATTTAGACGAAAGTTCTTATTTACTCATCGTATCACATTTATTTTTACACCTCTATGACCTTTAATTATTATAACAGAAGCGCTCGCGCGCGAGACTGATAGGTTTTAGATTGGAATCTCATGGGAGGCGGGACCGTGGATGCGCATTGCTGAAGATTCCCATACTAGGACGAAACGGCCGTCCAGTGCTTCCAGAATTTTCATGGTGGTTTAGCTTCAATTGACTCATGATTTCAACTATTGATATATATATATATATATATATATATATATATATATATATATATATATATATATATATATATGTATATATATATATATATATATATTCTTTTGTACTTTTGTAGATCTGCATTCACCATTCTAAAGTTAGCTGGTATAAAATTTATTTATTTACCTATTTCTATAAAACTTATGAGTTACCATAGTTACATTTCAAATAACAACAAAGAAACATTACAACAATATTCTAACTACTTTAGCTTAAAAGCCATCAGGAAAAACTAGGTCATTAATCGTTTTTCGCACAGTAAACAAAACATGACGTGCTTTATCTAGAAAACCAAGAACTATAAATGAATGTAAATCGAAAATTCTGGTATCTCTCCATGGTATTTTAAACGTTTTAATTACTTGGAATTTTTTTCAGAATATCTGTTTTACATTTCAGCGGATTTAATCAAAATCGAAAAATGGCTCGAAATATAACTTATTTAGATTTAATTTATTCAGTGAGTTGAGTGAAAGCGGTTTGGACGCTTACACGAACAGTTTATTGAACGGTAGTTGTAAGCGCATTCCAATGCTTAAGTTTTCACACAATATAAAACAAAGCTTGCAAGTAGATTGACTAGAAAACAAAATTTCTAGATAAATGCCTCAAAAGTTTTCTGTTCATTCGTATTTAGTTACAATGTAGAGATTCAGAAGTTTAAAGATAGATGCAGCTCAAAGTACTTGGAATGTATACGTTAATAACAACCAATATATTATTTATAATATATGTAAGCCATTATACTTTACATTTGATTTCAGACAAAATCTTGTAAATTTCTTATTTGGTTTTGGATGTTAAATGTTTATTATCGTCTCGTATACATAGACAAGACAAATCTATAATATTGAGGAAACAGTTTCTAAAGCTGGGATCATTGGTATTCTTTAAGCAGCCCAACGAATTAGTGATAATATCATCATTTGTGGTTTTAAAAATCTTTATACCAACACAACTTCCAGCAAAATTTCACTAATTTACATGCAGATAATAAATTGTACGATATTCCAACTTCCATTTAATGCATGATCGATAATTCTATAAACATATCTAATGTAAAATGAACGAAGATGAGCTTATGTAAAAAGGGTCAGAGAGTGAACTAAACAAAGAAAATGTCATCACATTATTGACGGGAAACCGTTATGTATAATAAGTATGATAGAAGTGGTTATTCATATCAATATTTATTTGATATCCTGAACTATTCAAGCTTACAGGACTGATAAATTTAATGTTCACTGAAGTGTCACAGGATTTGTACACTAAATTGATCTATTATTTTATATTAGTGATAACAATGTAGTTTGAAACTGTGCAGTAAACTAGTATCTCGAAAACTGACATTAGAACCAAGAGTACTCTCCATTTTAATAAAGCTGTTTTATTCAAATGAAAAAACAGATCTTTTGAGAGATTATTGATTAATTCTCATAGACTGTAGTAAATATAAATTAAAGTATTTTAGCAGTTTATACTAATCTTTAAATGTGTCTTGCCTGTAATGCATAAAAACACAATTGAGTAACTTCACAGGGCGTAGTTTTAAGAAAATGAAATATTGGTTTTAATTTTAGACAACACAAATCAATATTTCAACTATAAATTGACTGAGTTAAATCTAAAGTTACAAAAGCTGAAAGACAATTTTGATCCCTAACTGAAGTCAATCACGAGAACAAGACATAATAACATAACTTGGACTATGGTTACGATCCAGGACTGACATAAAATATTATGTTACTGAATAAGTCATGGATATTCATTTATTACATCAGTATGTAGTTAATCATAAGTAACTTCAATTTAAGAATTAGGATTTCATCATAGAACTACAAAATTTGAACATCTTCGGTAAGATAGTACGAGGATTAAACATCTGTTTTTGATCCGTTCCAGTTTATAGTTGTTCTCCCATTGATATCACTATATACTGAAAAATATAGTCAAATTTACTTAATACCTAATTAAAAGTGTCAATAAGAAGTTGCATGTTTTTTATTTCAAGAAAGTATTTTGGCCTATTTTCAGCTATAAAATTTTTTCTAATAGGAATTATAGTACATTATCAACTATTCACATTTAGTTTTACAAAGGCAATACTGAGTTGAATATTATTGATTTGATTTGGTTAATTGATTGGTTGATCTAACTTTATACAACTCATCAAAGGTATGTGCAAAATGAAAGAAAGAATGGAAGTGTTTACTTACTGTGCTCAGGTGCTTATACCGTGTAAACAGTGTGTGCTTGCGTATATATACATAATATGTATTTATCGGTAGTAGAAACAATGCAAAGAATAGATGACAAACATTTAAAAGTCAATTGAGTAATTAATATTTCAATCTGTTCAAATCAACTTTCGTTAACTAGACACATGTTTTACTATGGATTGTAGAAACGCTACGTATTGTACCATTACTGGTGATTAGTATTTTAGTTTAGAAAGGAGGTAGTATATGATCAATCATACTAGTTAGATTAACTTTACCTAAAAATGTAATACTTTAATAGAAATGTGTTTTTCTCTTGAACGCTGAATTCAGTCGATAAGACTATTGGATATATATTATTCAGTTTAGAAGCATAGGTTTATATACTCAGCCATGATATACACACTTTTATTAGGGTTATCGAGTTTACTTGTCAAGAGTAGGTGAGTTAGAGTTTGAGCGTGATACCCATTGGTGATAAAAGATCCAATGTTTTAAAAGGTTAACTATGAATGTTGGTAAACATCATGTGAATATATATATATATATATATATATATATATATATATATATATATATATATCACGATTGATCAGCAGAATACCAAGTATCTTCTGTAAATAAAATACACAGCTTTTACAGATATGTTTATAGTGAATCCTCTGACTACCGAAATTTACCATGTATCTTATATGTTAAGCTGATTCTAATTGTTTTTGTTGAGATGTTAGTAATGACAAATTTTTAGAAAATCCACTCTCAAATGATACATTTTCGTATAAATGTATTTTAGCTACGCATCAAGATGTTTTTCTTTCTATATTCAAATTCTTTAGTTTATCCCTTTTTTTCCATAATTTTTTACATATTTTTTACATATTTACCTGTTACTATATCTTCCATTTTTATTCATAGTTTATACATGGAAAACACATATCCTTTGTTAAAGGGCTTCCATTGTCGGTCAATTACCAACTGAATTAAACATTGATTTTGTGGTCCAGAATAACATTAAAAACGTTTCAGTCACAGCAATTAACTTAGGGAATATAACACCAGCATCTGTTAGAACAACAAATATTCTTCATTATTTTCATGTTTAATTAACTTAAATCATTCACTTTTTAAAATTACATTGTATATTTATTTGTTTACGAAATAAAGTCATTCGAAATCTTACTCGATCAACTTCTAGTTCGATTATCAGATCATCCTAATTTCATGTTTGTGTTATTTCCAATTGCCGTTGATTTCTTTCACTATTAAATATAAGCGCATTCCATTTGCTTGACAAACCTTCTTTCCTAATGTTTTCTTTTTTAGATTCTTATACACTGTTTCTCATACCGCTCTGGCACACAAGATGTGTCGAATCTTCTTTTACATGATTCCAGGATGCAAAACTCTCAGATGCAGTTAACAGAAAGTAGGTTGATTACATTT